AGGCTTTGTTCCCTCAGGCTACATTGACTGGATGGAGATACATTTTGACATGCCAATGCTTCCAAAATGGCCCTGGTAAAATGCAACCCTGGGGAGCTCACCAGCTGTGTTCCCCAGGCAAACAGAGATTAGATATACGTTGATTCAAAAGCGTGCTCTTTAAACTGAATTAAAATGGTTCTTCTTTTGAAAAATGTTGTAGAGAGGGTCAAAATATTTTAACGGCATTGTAAAAAAAACTGTTAGTTTATATGAAAAATTATAGAAATGTCTGTTGCAGTAAGCCAAAACTTGTTTTATACAATGCATGAGTTGTGATTTTTTTTCAGCAAATTAATTATTTATATGTTTTTATTTTTTATTTATTCATTTTGTACTAAAATGAGCAAATGTCAAATGACAAAGATTGATTTTTTTTTTTTTTGAGGTTGAGGGTATGTGCAACCTGTTCATGTTGGCATCTACCACATTCTGCTGGCACCAAGTGCATGCATTTGTGCCAAAGTACCTTAGAGTTTGATTGGACAAATGGCCTTTGACAACAGAAGATATGTGAGGTGTTTCCTCCTCCATTTTCTAAACTGATAAGCCTATTATTTTGCCAAGTAATGTTAGATGCATTTTATGTTTTTGCATTTAGCATTGCATTCTCCTTGCTGTCCAGAGTTGTGATGCAGGTAATGGCTGGCCAGTCGGGTTTAAAAAAACAAAAAAGAAGAAAAACTAAGTAAAGTCTCATATTAGTTCTAAAGGGCAGTTTCAACAAATCACTCATTAGTCCTTAAGAGTTAAATTTATACAACTGAGAATAATAACAGCATGCATATTTTATGTGTTCAGCAGAACAGTGCCCTCTTATCTTATTGAAAATATTCAATCCATAAACCACATTGTAAATGAAGCTGGTGCAAATCATTGGTAAAAATCTGTGAGGAGCATAAGGAATCCATTGAGTATTTATTATCGGCTTTTAAGCTTTGCCATGTCTAGGTGCAAGACGTTTTACAGTTTAATTAGGAAGGAATGAGCGAGATAAAACCGCATGAGCACACATCATTTATGTACAGGCTGTTTGGTTGTACGTGGTGCATGAATTTGTGAGATAGCGGGCAGTCTGATAAAGAACAACATCTTTTCAGTCTTTGGCGTGTGATGTGATAAAGATCTGCAAGAACATAACAAACAGAACTTGTTTCTGGCTTATATCATATATTTATATAAAACAATTCAACCTAGTCACTTAAGTGTGGGACAATCCAATAGCTTAGACCCATCCCACATGGTGCAATGTGAAGTGGCATTAAATCTATGCACGATTTGATGGAAGAATGAGCTTCTCTCTGCTCACTGCTTAATGAAGTTCTAAAGATTCATGAAAATATTTAGGCATCTAGGCTGAGAAGGACCAAAGGGGTGTGACTCTTTCCAAAGGTGTTTTTATTCTTCTTTAGAGCATCTTGGCCATTAAAATTCTGCTCAGATTGTCAAACACTCCCTCATGAAAACGACCGTGTAAAATATGAAAGATAAATTCATCAGCATTATTACCCAGCATGAGCTAAAAATACTATGTTAATCTTACGATCTGAAACCTAAGTGCTTCTTAGCAGCTCTAAACACATACAGTTAAAATTTACCTGTCAAAGCCACCACTGCTAATGCACAATGTGACAATTATACTAACAATGAGAATCCTGACTAAATGTGTTTTGGTTTTGGTTTGGTTTTAATGGAGCTTTAAAAGCAGCTTTGGGTGGCAAAATACACAATCCGACTGTTCGACAGCCAACTGAGCTTGTAGAAACAAGACCAGCTGAATGTCCTGAAGAGGCCTTGATTGTCGTTTGGAGACAGGCAAGCCTTTATTTTCAGGGAATGATCCAACATAGCAGAGGAAGTTATTGATCCGTCTGAGCGCAGTATATTTTAAAAATGGGACCTTTGCAGCTTGTAATCATGATGAGAGAACAGTTGTGTTGAAAAACAGTGATTTCTTGTGTGAACTGCCATTTTACTAGAGGTATCAAACCACATGTTCAAGCCATCAATAGCCTGGGCTGTAAATCTTTTATATTGGGAAGTCTAGATCATGCGAAAAGGTCACTAGTGATGGGTTTACGGATCTCGAGTTTAAGAGGAAAGCTAGCAGTCAGCAAAAATACACGTGCCATTTCCTGATGAATGCACATTTGTTGCATCGCACATTTATTTCCTGAAATACATAGCCATTATTGTTTGTCATTGTTTTTTCTACTTTTCCAATTTTGTGCATGCAAGAAAACCAGTATGCAAATAAAGATGCATTTATGCGTATACAGTCAATTTCAGAATATGCTCTCTTGTGCTTAATTGCCTGAGATTAAAATCTTATCTACTCAAATATCATTTCAGATCCGTATTAATCGCCTTTTCCGACACCTGCCTGCAAGTACTCTGCCACCTCAGCCCAGCTGTAATCTGCAGCATAATGTAACCAGTAGGGGTTAAAGTCGAGACAGCGGGAGAGGGCAAAAATCCATCTGCCTTCTAATTTGAGCGAATGTGTATCGTATGCTAAGCGCTTAGCTGTTATCAATACAATCTCCTTTGTTCCCTCCGGGTTGGAGAAGAGCACAGAAATACACTACATTTTAGGGTTTTTTTCTGACTGGTAATGCCAAATTAAAGCAATTTATTGCATTTAATGCATTTTCAGGATAGCAAAAATGCTTTGTGAAAATATAAAATATTTATTTTTTATGAATCAATTTCACCCTTCGGAGCATCCCTAAAGGTGGATTGTGTCCAATTTAGCAAACTTTTTGTAATTGTAAACTAACATGCACTTGCACACTTCTGGTTTTCTATCATGGGAACTTTTCGTTTTATACTTTTTACTGTTTTGGTACTAAGCTAAAGATATTTTCACTGTGATATCTCCTAACTTCATCTAAGTAGCCTAACCCTCATGAAATCTTTTTAGATTTTCTTTACCATTTTTAGTATTCAGTACAGATTTCAGATCTCATCTGTGTAGGGGTTTTCTGGTTTGGCTATCTTTGCAATATTTGATCTCCACAATAAAAGCAAAACCTGACCAACACACACAAACAACATAAAACAGCATGTGATCATCTAAAACTCCTCCTGTCTCTGCTAAAGAAAGGTATTCTACTGTAGCAGCCCATGTGCACTGATGTGCGAGGCCTGTTGGTTATCCATGCTGAGCTCCTGCAGTTTTGTCCTTGTCAACATTGAGCGCCTCGTCTGGACACAGCATCCTCGCACGCGTGGATGACAGCAGAATAAATGCCACTGCTGTGCGCGTGCATGTGCCAAACCTACAAGATCTGTCCTGTCCCTTCTTAGTAGTGATGGGAAGTTCGGATCATTTTACCGACTCGGACCTTTGAGTCTCGTTCAGCAAAATTAACGAATCTTTTTTCGAGTCATTTCGTTCATTTTAGCAAAATATAATTAAAATGTTACGTGTTACTTCCTTAACACATCTACTACTTACGCAAACGTTGATCACACTACAAACAATACAAAAGTGCTATAAGAAACAGAAAAGATTAATTCATTGTTTACCTGGGTCTTCAGTCTATGATTAGCTCACCTCACCTCTTATCTGACAAGTCTTCGAGTTTGAGTCGTTCGTTCATCACGTGACAGCCCCATAAATTTAACCTATGCAGTCTGAGCCGGAAAGAGAATTGATTAGTTCATCTCTCGAGTCTTTCGAATCGTTCGCTCTTTTGTCACGTGACTTGACAGCATTGGATAGAGAAATTAGTTCATTTACAAGCTTCCTTACAAACGGGTGCATAGTTATTATTATTATTATCATCATTATTATAATTATTATTTACTCTCACAGTTACGTGATGTGTTTCTGGTCTCAAATTATCGTTCAAGAACGACCCAACACTACTTCTTAGTGATACGCACAAGAAACAACACATTCGGGAATATGTATTGGGCATAATAATAATAATAATAAAAAAATAAAAAAATAAGTAAATAAATAAAACTGAGCATGATATGAAATGAGGCATCCAGTCAATTTGTGTATTTTAGCGATTGTAGCAGTCACTATTATGAGCTGTGCAAAGAGTCATCTTAAAGGAATAGTTCACCCTAAAAATTACAATTCTGTTTTCATTTACCCTCATCTCGTTCCAAATCCGACTTATTTTGTGTTTCGCAAAAGAATGAATGCTGAAGTCAGTCCTGTTAGGACTTTTTTGAGACATTGTCAATAATTAGGAGCTTCAAAAACGATGCAAACTCACAATAAAAGTACCATAAAGGTAGTCCACATGAGTTATGTGGTAGGGTAAGCTAAGTGTCAAGCCTTCTGAAGTCATATATTAGCGAATAATTGCCTGATAATCCTCCACATTAGTGAGGCGTTAACCGCTGCGAATGAACCAATTAGTGAGTTGAACTTGAGAACCGAGTCAGTTCTCATGAACAAAACCATTCCCGTCGAACCAAAAGATTCATTGAAAAAGATCCACCTCCAGCAAATGGTTCATGAGTTACGATTCATACAATGACATAATTGCTATGACTTAAAAATACTTGAGTCTTTTGGACTAATTTTATGATGCTTTTATGTTTTTTTCCCCTTCATTTTTGAGGCTTGACATTTTCAATTACCATTTATTTTAAATGCATGGAAAAGAGCTATATCATATTAGATTGTACATTTTATAGCCTACCTATAGGCTATATGACATACATTTATTATTATTATTATTATTATTATATTTTATGGTTTCTATAAAGACAGTTTATGAATGCTGCATATTTAGGTAAATTAGAAGATCAGATTTATTTGAGCATAAACAGTAAAATGCTTTTACGGCTTGAATAGGTATTAATTTTAATGCAATTCGTTAGATATAAAAATAAAAGACTTTCAACCGTAATACGCATGATGTCGTTATGCCCAACTCTCTCTCTCTCTCTCTCTCTCTCCCTCTCTCTCTCTCTCTCTCTCTCTCCCTAGACGCAGCAGCGGCTTGGCTTGGATTCAGTACCTCCCCTATGTGCTGCCTTACTCCATCATCACATCCCTGAACGTGAGCGGTGTAGCTGAGGAGCACTTCTTTAAAACCCGACACTTCGCTGGAGTTGCTTCCCTGCGCGTCTGAGAGTCGGAGGGAGGGGAGAAGCATTCCCCAAAATCTCTTCTAACGATGGAGACCCATCTGGTTGTATTCCCTGGCGCTCACTTTACTCTTTCTACCTGGCTAATTCTTTCCTCCTGGTATGTTTTTCCAAATGTAAAGGCAGATATAAGTTGCGCGCCATGCATGTCGCCAATGCAAGTGAATTACGCAGGGGATGAGCATCTACGTGACCCGCCTGATTCTGGGAAATATCCGAGACAGGATCAAAAGAAACCCAAGCTGATCACAGTTCTTTACCCGAATATTGGAGTACCCACTGGACGAGAGGTGGATGGTTTTCCAGGGATCGCGCCGAAACTGGAAAGAAACGCAGAGGAGATAAACTCCCGCGCGCCTTTGGGGAACTTCACCGAGTCCGATTTAGACGAAGAATTGTTTTCGGATGAATATGTGAAAAGTGAATCCGAATTGGAACCCGAGGACGCCGCATTAGGGAGAGTCCAAAGAAGCGTGCCCGAGTTTCTGGAGAGCGCTGATACCCGCTCGGAGGAGCAGAGAAAGACCTCGGGTCTGCGGGTCGACGGACAGAGTAAACGCGCCGAAGTTCGCTGGAACAGGGATGATGAGCACGATTCCAGACCAGACGAACCCAAACTGACCAGCAGCACTTTTGCTCTGGCTGGAGACTCCGCGCACAACCACGCAGTGGTGTACTGGACTGGAAAAAACAGCAGTGTAAGTCCGCAACATCCTGTACTTCTTTGTCATAATGTAATATATACTATTCAGTTATCTAGTCCATGCTGACTTGTTAAGCTTTCAGGGTTCTCGTCATCTTCAGTTGTTGTCACTGTAAAGGCATGCACATGTTGTTGTGAGTCTATAGGGTTTATAATGAGCATTTCCGCAACCTGTCCTGAAGGAGCCCTGAAGTGATCAACCCTGCTGAAAACATAACCTTAAAGCATAACATAACCTTAAAGACCAGCAAACCAGCTCAGTCTTTTGAGCAGAGATAATCCAAAGGTTTACAGAAAACACCTGTTCAGAGTGTTAACCACCTGTTTGTCAAAGAGATCAAGCACAATAGGAACTCTGCAATGAGCTGGAATGTAATCCATAGTGTTACTAAGATTATGTTCAGTTTAAATAACCATTCACCTTTGGGAGTTTATTTCTAAATTGCCTTAGTTAAATTTACTAGGGGCAAAGTCTGCAAATATGCCTTTAATGCAGTATCTTTCTGCACTGTCGGTATATTTTTTCCGATGAAATGATTTGCTTGTAGAGCAGGTTGTTGGCTAGAGCCTCCTGGCTGCAGTGCTGTCTGTGTTTTTGGATTGGCAAGATAGGAGACTTTATAATACTTCACATCTCAATAATTCAGAGATCCATCTAGTCGATTTTGTAGACAGAGGCACATAGGCAAAAAATAACCTTGTCCTTACATGCTAAAGTTAAGCAGAACTACGAACTTGCATTTAAGCAAGTCTGCAGAGTATTGCCTGGGTGTTTGGATTTTGTTACAGACAGGTGGTGTTTGATGAGATATGTGTGAGCGAGTGAGATATGAGTGCGAGAGAGAAGAAAGGCAGATTTTCTCTGTGATTTTCAAACAGATTTTCATGTTTAAGCTATGTTTTGTTTATATACATATACATTTATATATTATATTATATTATATTATATTATATTATATTAATGTCTCAAATTATTTTACTCAGAGTGCATTTAAAATGCAAGGCATGATGTGTAAGCAACCTAAGCACCACTGGTATTAAAACAGTACCATAGTAACAGGTAATCTATTAGGTACAATTTAAGCATGTATTTTTTTATTTATGAACAGTGAACAGTATGATGACTAAATGAAGGCAGATTTTTCCATATGACTTAGGTTGAGTGTTCCAGTTAACCATTGTTGGGGAGTAACTAGTTACATGTAACGGCGTTACGTAATTTGCAGTTAACATACAAGGTGTTAAAGGAGACGGCCAAGATTTTATAAAAGGAATCAGCAGGAGGAGGCAGCAAAATTATTTTTATGGAGAAGGGCCATTTTGAAAAAGGTTCTTAATTTAAATGTGGATATGGATAGCATTTTAAATAAGGAACGTTATTAGAACTTTCAAAAATTACATTCCCTTAAAAAAAAATCATATGCGTTTTGAGTAGCTACAAGATGTATGAAGTCTGCAGCCACTGATGAAGAATCAGATTTTGCAGTTCGCTTCTAGTAATTGTTTCTATTTGGCTTTGGATAACTGATTCTAGACCAGTGGTTTTAGCAGATTTGTCCCAGAGCGGTAATTGGAAGCAACAGGCAGTGGATTGAGGCAGATATTTCTACTACAGATTCTATGTGCATTTTCGTTTAAGATGGGCCTCTATATATGTGAAATAATTTCTCCAGCAGTATGAGGTGAAGTTATATAAATTAGACTCATCCTTCTCAAATGAACCACCTCATCCATTATTGTCTTTCTTAGTGCCTGTTTGCACAACAAAATACAATAAATCAAAACAGATAGTCCAGCGTTTTCAGGCCCTGTCTAGACATATTACATCTAGCTTTATTAACTTGTTTAGTAGCTGTCAGTAAAACAGCCACAGCAATTTTAAGCAAGGGTTACTGCCCGCCAGGTCCCGTCCCTCATCCCCGCAGCTGCAAATCTCCTATAATTATCTTCTGGACAGAGGCAGCCATTTTGAAAGATTTTGTCCTGTTCAGGGACTGCCTACTCAAGCGTGTTTTCCCTGCTTGCATGCCTGCTGGAGAGCTTTGTCTTCATTGGCTGGAGGTTTTATGAGAGATGAATGAAGAGTGCAAGGACAGAGTGTGTGATTTGATTTTGTTTCCTAACAATAATGTTATGTATGCAAAACCTTTTTTTGCAATATTTGCAGCTCTCTGTTTTCAATCACTGCTCGGATGTAGGATATGCTTTCTGTTACTCGTCAGTGCAAGGAAGAGCAGAGGTCGGATCCAAATGCAAGCAGTAGGAAGTTTAATAAAACAAAAGTAATCCACAGCATCAAACGATGAACATAACTTGGGGAGAACCAGGCAAAAGAAACAACACGCCACAACTTCACAAAGACAACGACTAACTCAGACTGACTAAAACACAGGACTATTATACACAGAGACACTAACAAGATGACAAGGTAACAAGACACACCTGGGAAAGCAATCAAGAGGACCAATGAAACAAAAGAACTACAAGTTGACTACAAATGGCACTCTAGACAGGAAGTAACACAAATGTCCAAACACAAGACAGGGGAACAAGAGCAAGATCATGACAGAGCCCCGCCTTTAGGAGCAGATTCCAGACGCTCCAAAATAAACACCGTTAAGTCCAGGAGGGTGGTGGAGAGGAGGCGGAACAGGGGCAAGGATGGAGGGCCAGGTCCATGTGCAGGAAGAGAACCTTGGGACTGAGGCAGAGCTGGAGGAACAGGGAGCCAGGGTGGAGCAGGTGGAACTGAAGACCACCAGAGCAGAGCAGGGGGAGCTGAAATCCACCAGAGCAGAGCTGAAGAGCACCAGGGCGGAGCAGAGAGCCAGGGCGGAGCCGGCAGAACAGTGGGAACTGAGGACCACCAGGGTGGAGCAGACAGCCACAACAGCAGAGCAGACTGGTCCGAAGATCCCCACAGCGGAGCAGATGGAGCAGAAGACCACCAGAACAGAGCAGAAGACCACCATGGCGGAGCAGGCGAAGTAGAAGACCACCACGGCGGAGCAGACAGATGCGGAAACCAGGGCTGAGACTGAGACCTCGGAGGAACTGAAACACAGGAAACAGACAGTTTACTTATGGCCCCAATGACCGAGGCAGAAGGCACCGTGAGTTCATTGATAATCTCCTCGGCTGTGATGGACAGGACTGAATGTTCATTAGCGGCCTCCATAGCCGTGACAGGACAGGCAGAGAGTTCACATACGGCATCAATAGCCATGACAGGATAGGCAGAGAGTTCACATACGGCCTCCATAGCTGTGACAGGACAGGCAGAGAGTTCACAGACGGCCTCCAT